ATATACACTGTGGCTTCTCCCTGGAGTATTCTTCTCCAGCAAACCCTTGTCACCTTTTAAGTCTTGCTTTATAGATAATTCATTCACCAGAAAGCTTACTCTGATCCTAATGTTGTAAATGTAGCCTTCCCAGGTGATTTCTGGACATTCTGAACTTTGCCAATTGAGTTTCATCGTAACTTCTCTGTATTATCTGTCTGTATACCATGACAGTAATAAACATTGGGGTGGACTTCTCCAATTTAAAAAAAATAGTACCTAGTGCCTAGCAGATAGTAAGTACTCAAAGCATTTTCAAATGAATGAATGGGAACTTAATTGTAAGAGCCCAGGAACCACTATAAAGCTTGGTACCCACTCAGCGCAGTGTTTCTAAGACTTCTGTTGGGCAGTATCCCTTCGCTTGAAATGCCTTCCATACTTGAAAGCAACGACTCTCATTTGTTCAAAACCAGTTCTGTAATTTAAGTGTCTCTCTGACTTAGATCCAGTTACCATGGCTGATCCATAGCTGCAAAGCTGTTATTGCATTGGAACAAAAACTTACAAAACAGGTAGATCACAATCATTCAAATGCATTATATGATTTACATCGTAGATATATGTATCACTTTACACAATGTTTAAGAAGATATATTTAATCCTCAAATTTTTGCTTCTGATTTAGGCACTGAATAATACTCTATAGAGAAGAAGACTGACCTAGACAAAATGTATTTGCTATCAATAATAGCCATACCAGGCTGGAGAAAGCTTTCTTTGTTATCTGAAGTTTCTTACTGATAGACAAACTCAAGTTCAACTACCAAAAACAAAACAAAACTCAAACTAAAAAATGAAATGGTCTCCAAATCTTGTCATAAATACTCCATCAAAACATTTTGTTTTTCCTTATATTTTCAAGTGCATCAGTGAATTAATCTGTCCCTGAAATGAGATTTGAATCTGCATTTTTAAGGTTGGAAGAGTCTGTGACCGAAAAATCACAATAAATCTGCCATTTAACTTGTTTTCCTGATTTGGCTGCTGCCTGCAGACCATGTCAAGAGGAATGGATATGGGGTTTCCATTGCCAAGTGTTGACTGTGGCCACTTTAATTACCCGTGAACTTGGAGAAGATTCAGATCTGCAACTTGTTCCATAATTGCCTCTAGCAGTCTTTTCCCTGAGCATCAAGGCCCTGGCTCATCTGTGTTTCTGCTGTCCAAAGAGGAAAAATAAAATCCTAATTGCAATCCCATGAACCCTCTTCTTCTATGTGCTGTATGCACTGCTTCTTTTTAAGTCTTTCTTCAAATCAAAGTTTCCTTAGTTTCCAATGAGGAAATATTAAAATACAAACACAGTGCAGACTCATTTGGCCTTAAAGTGGCAGAGAACTAACTTTTATCACCATGAGGCACTGCTGGAGTAGCAATCATTTTCCCCTTTCTCCTTAAAAACAAGCTCCTCACTGATTTCTTATCTGTAAGGTATGAGGGAAGACGTTGTAGGGGACTTCTCGGGAAATCCCTTAAAAGGGAGAAAGTGCAGCCTTATTTCTACTCTCCTCCTTGCTGTTGGCTCAGATGTCAATGGGAGGCTAAAACTCAAGCAGCCGTCTCTGCTCATGAGGCCAGGAGGGCGGGGCAGCAGGACAGCAGGACCGGAAGTCTGATGACCGTGGAGTCAGGAGAGGCCTTTGAGAGCCCTTCAGAGACCAACCAACCAAGCAACATGCAGCTCCCACACCCAAAACTTCCATCTTCTTCAGCCACTGTACTTTTCATTTTCATTGTAATATGGGAGGTCTTCCCCAACGGTCATGGAAAATATTTTGAAAAATGGTGCATGGATTTCAAATTTTTTGCACTACACATTCATCTTTTAATTTCCTGTTTTCCATGAAGTCTCCTAGCACAACTTTATTTACTGATTAGTAAATATCAGGTGCTATGTTAAATGCTTAATTTATATCCACAGTGTAATAAAGTATGGAGTAAAGTTTACTTTATTTTATGGAGTAAATAAGGTTCAGAATTTTCCATAGTTGACTGAATAATGTCACCAAAGTACTTTTTGCCCAAATAAGAATTTCCAGGAAAAGCCAAGACACTCTGGTGGGAAAAACAAAACAAAACAAAACAAAACAAACAAACAAACAAAAAAAAACAAAAAAAACACACAAACACAAAAACCAACCCTAAATGAAAAGATCTCTGCGAGTGAGATCCCAGTGAAAAGAACGGGCCATCAAAGAAGGAGGTACCTTTCTCTGAAGGGAGGAGAGAACTTCCACTTTGACTATGACCTTGTCTAAATAAGATCAATGTCCGCAAACTCAAAAGGCTTCCATAGCCTTGGCAACTCATGGTAAGAGCCTAGGTTGATTACTGACACCATAAACAAGAGTGTCAATTGTTAAGTCAACAACAGGAGTCACTGTGCACTTACTCCCCATGTAGGATCTCTGTCCTTAACGTGTTGTACAATGTGAATTAATGCTATAACTAATACTCAAACAGTACTTTACACTTTGTGCTTTTGTGTGGGTGCAAACTGTTGAAATCTTTACTTAATATATGCTAAATTGATCTTACTTTACTTGATATATACTAAATATACTAAATATATACTAAATCTTTACTTAATATATACTAAATTGATATAAAGATAATTGAAAATGAATCTTGATGTGGATGGAATGGGAGAGGGAGCGGGAGATGGGAGGGTTGCGGGTAGGAGGGAAGTTATGGGGGGGGGGGAGGAACCACTATAATCCAAAAGCTGTACTTTGGAAATTTATATTTATCAAATAAAAGTTAAAATAAAATTTAAAAAATTTAAAAAAAAGAATTTCCAGGATAGACTCTGGGACTTACACTCTTTTTCCTGCACCACCAAAAGGTTGGGTTAAATCTCACCTTGTAGGCCTTTCACGAAGCCTTCTGATTTTCTAATCTTTTCAGATGAAGATTAAAAGGCTATGCTTACTTTATGGACTACAGTAAGGACAGGTGACTAAAGTCCTTGGGAAATTATTATTATTTAATTTCTGGATACAGTCAAAATTATTTAATTTTTTAACACAAAATATAAGGAGTACTTACAGGAAGTCCTAATTCCAGCATAGCCAAAATTAACCAGTTTGCATCACAAGCCTATACTTGTTTAACTTGGTTTACAAAATCAAACTTCAAATCACTAATTAACTGCCTATTCTGGAAATCCATTCTGTGTGGCCTAGCATTTCTCTGGATTATATCTAAACACTCAGTTCACAATTCTGCCTTGTCATTCTGCTATGCCTGCCTTTTAATGAAGGTGTCTTCCATTAAACACTGGCAGAATTGAAGACTGTGTTGTCAGAATCAACTCATATCAAAGTTCCTTAGGGCCTCTAATCTAAAAGTGGTTCAACTTGGTTGTTTGTTATATGACTCTGTGATTTTTAGAAAAGCAAACCCTCATTGCTTAACTTAAGGTTTTATTGTTTGCATTTCCTCTCCTTTCCAAGACGTAATTTGAGATTCCATGACCCCAAAGATCACCTCTAAAATTCTGGACTCCCTGCACAAGAGGTGACCCTGAAAAACTTAGTGGTCATATCCTAGAGTCAAAGAGACATGGTTTTAAATCCTAGCTGTGGGACATTAGGCAAATTATATCATCTCTTTAAGCCTTGTTTTCTCATTAGCTGCTGAGATGTTTAAAGGAGATCATTGACATAGAGCTCTGGATTAGGTTTTCTATTGTTGCTATATCAAATAATCCCAAATGTAGTGGCTTAAGCAATATAGGTCTGTTGTCTTACAGTTGTGAAAATCAGGAGTCCAGTGCAGGTCTGAGCTGAACCCAACTGGCAAGGCTGCAATCTTTCAGAATAGTTCATGCTCATTCAGACTGTGGGGAGGATTCAGTTCCTGTGCTTAGGGGACTGAGGTCCCTGTTTCTCTTATTGGCGGCTCCATCTACCATCTTCAAAACCATCAACACACATCAAGTTCATTCTCATGCTTCAACTCTCTCCTATTTCTTCTCTGTTCAGCGTGTCTCTGACCCACCCTTTGGCCTTCTGCTTTCTATTGTAGGGGCTTGGATAATACTTTGGGTTCACCTAGATAATCTGGATTAATATCCTTACTTTCAAGTCAACTATGAGCAACCTTAATTTCACCACCAACTTCATTTACATTTCGCCATGTAATGTAGCACAGTCACAGGTTTCCAGGATGAAGACATGGGCCACTACTCTGCTTATCACACATTCTGAGAATAATACCTGACGTGTACTAAGTACTCAATAAATAGCAACACAGTCAATACAAACACATACTCTCTGGCAGGTATTGATCCAAGTTCTTTATGAATATTTATGTATTTAATCTGCATAATATTACTCAACATGAAGCATCAACTATTATCACCCTCTCCATTAACAAACAAGGACGTGAGGCATAGAAAGATTAAGCAATCTTATCAAGCTAGCAAAGGCAGAACGAGGACTTGAACCTAAGCAGTCTGGCTACAGAATCCGTGCTTTGAACTAAGCCCCTTTCTGCTTCTTCACTTCAATAGTAGTGTAATAACCAGGAAACTAGGAAAGCCTTTGCTAACCCAACACTAAATTATCTCAGTATAACATAAGAGCAATACTGGCTTTTCTTCAGCATGTGTTGTCATCATATCATCTTCTCTTCATTGTTCTGGGACACTGGGCCTGCATCTGGGGCTGACATTCATCTAATATTCTGGGTGAGTCTTCCCAGGAAATTGAGGGAGAAATGTCTTGCTAAGATATTCCACGTGGGAAGAAGTTAGGTAGGTGTATGTCTATTTTTAAACTGACTACGATCATAATGAGACTATTACAGAATTAAAGGATTCTCATTTTGAGTCTTAAATAGCTCTCATGCTACCGGAACGCTCTTTCATTTTATTTCACACTGAAGACCTTTGTCAACATCACTATACCAAGTGCAGAGAAGGCCAACTCCCATCCTCTGGGAGCACCCAATACCTGTCATGTTCCTGCACCATCGTATCTCCTCTCTTCCAGGAAGACAGAGCCCTGGGGGAGGCTCTGGGTTTACAATCCAAGTTGACCACGCTGCCCACCTGCACCTGAACCAACTTTTTCATTGGATTCTTTGAAAAGTCTGGAGCAGAGGCTAAAAAAGAAGAGAGAGGAGAGAGAAAGAATGAAAATTTGATCATTGATTTAATGAGAGCTGGATCATTTTTAAAATTCCTATAAATTTCAAAGGTTGACTTTATAACCATTTATAAAGTTCTCTTGATATGCAAGGTGTCAGTGCTCACTTTATTTGATTTACAGCATACCACACATAGGATTTTAAGGCTAAAAACATAACTTGCACTAATGTTTTCTGGCAAGTTCTAAATCTTGAGAAAATTATTTACTTGGAAACTTTTAGTACTTACTGTTAAGATTTAAAATATCTTAGTCATGAGTTTATTAAGTGAAAGGAAAACACGTAACACTGAATATTTTTAAAAGTTAGTTCCATGAATGCAGGCATGGGGTTGGTGTCTCTGTTGACCCTGAGGGCACTGGACTTGGCACAGCGCCTGGCACTTAGCTTTCCCAAGCAAATGCTTTCAGAATATATGCTGAGTACTAAATTAACATTCTCACTTACACAAATTTATCAAGTTCCATTGGAACATTTTCATATGTTTAGGTTCAACTTTTAAGTTGAGGAAGACAATGTAATACACCAATTAGATTAGATTAGATTAATTAATACTCATATGACATTAAATATTATAATTTGTAAAAAAATGCATAAAATCACAATCCTGCAAAAATACCTGAATAGTCAAGTAAAAAAATAATATATCATTAGACCAAAATGATATGTTAACCAGAAAACTGCTCTTCCTTTTACTGTGAACTTGGAAAACAGGAGCCTAGTGCATTTCCCTTAATTTCTGAAACTCTGGTTTTAGGGCAAAATCCCAGTGAATATATTTTTTATAGCGAGATACATTCATATGTAAAAGTATGGCAAAGAAGACATACTTTCTAGAGGTTGTCGGCCTTCAAATTAAGCAACTGAAGCAGCTGTGCTGAAACAAGAAACCTCTTTGAAGTACATTTCTTAAACATCTTGCATTCTTCCTATGCAATAAGCCTACTCGTGGGTTTCCTAGAGAAGTATGAATCCACCCACTTTAAAGATGAATGGGCTACAGCTCACCAGGTTATTTTACTTCAAGACTAGAGCGGTGCTGCAATTTTGAACTTGTGTGTGACTTCGCCTTTTGCCTTCCTGTGCTGCTTTTTGCTCCTGGACCACAGGAGCCAGCTTTTCAGCTGGTGAGGTTCCCTTCCCAGGCCAGCCCTCCTGGTACAGATGCTGCTTTCCAATTGTAGGCACCAGGGTGGAGAGTTTCACTTTCCCTTAAGCAATCTGGCCTGGAAAGTCACCCACTCTGAGAAGACAGCAGGGTATCTGCAGCCTCTCTGGTCTCTACCCTCAAGATGATAATAATAACGAGCGTCCTCATCCCAAACTGTGACAAGCCAAAATGTCTCCAGAAAGCCTGGTGTGCTGGTGCAGTCAGTGTAAGCTATGTGTACTGTATCAAAAAGTTGTGCTGTACTCCTAAAAGTGTGTAAGAATTACCTATTAATCTAAAATTAAAAAAAAAAAAAAAAAACTCCAGACATTTCCAAATATTTCTGGGATCAAAATTGTCTCCAGTTGAGAATTACTGAGTTAGATTAATCAGAGCTTTATAACCTGCTGGTCATATTCATGGAGTCAGTGGTGGGAACTGACCCAAACCCGACCACATGGGTACAGTGAGACAGACGGCTGCTATTTCCATGAGAGTGTTTAAGAAAGCCATCTTTCTTTCACTTTACTGATGGTGGTGAAACATCAGACAGCCTGGTAATGGCAATGGTACTTGAGCCCTGAATCATGTCATGCTCATATCCAAAAAAAAAAAAAAAAAATGCCCATGTTAATGACCCTGACCCAGGAGTTTGTTCCTTCCCGTTTTTCTCTCCCACCCTCCCACTCTTACGTTATGCCATTTTGGTTGGGTTTGCATTCATTTGCAATGTAAGTGTCCTTCTAGACAGCTGTCCTAAACATGGTATCACATATTCTTTCTTCTTTTATACCTACAGTGCATGAAGTAGAAGATAATTCAATAATTTCGACTACGGGAGCCTTGGTTAATTAAGGCTTAGGCATGCACACTGCTTGAGCTTCCAACAGGGTTACTAAAGACAAAAGCAACTCCTTCTCAATCAAAAATGATTGATTCAAAATGTGGAATTTATTTTTATGAACCAGCCACAAAGAACTCCAAAACCACTTATTCTCCTAAAAGTCATGGTTTACTGTGTCATATTATGTCATATTTTAATATCATAATATTAAAAACATTAGCCCAACACCTTCTTCCTGTTGTTTGACTCAGCTTTCAACCATAATTTTGGTTACACAATTGTTGCTTTTCCTTAGAAATCATTAAAATGTATGCCTTGATTAGAAACCCTGAATAATTATGTTGTAACAGTTCAGATGTTATTAGCTGTAGGAACCTAGTATTAAAAGTAACTGCTTTTGCTTTTGGCAACAATGGAGAATTTAAGACAAAAATTCAGACAAAAACAGTCTTACCGACAACCTTGAGTTCAGCACTGGAATAGACGAGACCATGTTTGTTTTCTGCTATGCACTGGAACATGCCAGAGTCTGTCACGTTTAGGTTTGATATTGTGAGGGCACCATTTTCTATCTGTATTCTCTCCTAGATGATAACAAAAATGTCTTGCATATAAACAAATAAACCATTTTAGAGGGAAAATGAACACCACTGCCTATCATTTCAATCGGACAGAAACCTCCTGCATTTTCCTCAGGGTATTAGAGGCCACCTGACCTGAAATTTAACCTTTTCCTTCTTTGAAATGTGAAAGAGTGACTTAGCAAAACAGCCACGCACTGGAAATAGGAAGAAACGTCATTCAGTCCAAAAGTACATCAGTAAAATAAATAACAAAGCAGGAGGTCAGACTTTCAAATATACCTTGGATTTCAATTGCAAAGGTTTTAACCATTTTAAAGAATAATGCAGATTAAAAACACAATAAATTAATTCTGTGCATTAAAAAGGATTCTGGGAAATATATACTCACTAGGGCTTACAGGATGTATGAAAGGTTATGTATATAAATTTAAAGAAATACAGTTGATTGCATACACAGAAAAATAGCATAAATTACATGGCTTGAGGAGGAAAGTGGTTGAGAGAACAGCAACTCAGGTAACAAAATAACCAAATAACAGATGCATTTATTCTCTAGAGGTAACATCAAGTTGTCTACAGGAAAACAAAATTGTATTCTACATTTGATTAAAGCAAACCTTTCTCTAATTTCAGTGCTTAAAACATAGTGTATTATTTTATGTACTAAACTCAGAAAATCACCTTTGTCAAAGAATTGCAGTGTTGACAAGATCTCCTCATTGGCCGACCAGGATCTCGATTTTATATTTTGTCCCCCATTCCCACTCGTTGGATGCAGATGAAAGTGTGCAAACCCAACAGTGAGTGGAGTGTTCACATGGGGGCGAGGGGCTACCCAGGCACATTTTCCTCACCTCTAGCACCAGAGCTTCTCCATTTTTCAGCCATCGGTAGGAGGGCTTGGGCTTACCACTCGCCCGACATTCCCAGTGCAGGTTGTCCTCAACTGCTATTTCCACATCCCTGATGAGTTGAACCCAATGAGGCTTTGCTGTAGTGGTAAAAAGAAAGGGAATTCAAACAACTTAGCTAGTAAAGAACAAATCTCTAGCCAGTGAAGTCTGAGTGGACAGAAGGCTGTGAGGAATAAAATCATCATAGAAACTAGAGAGAGAGAGACAGATATACAGATATCTTTCATCCAATGGTTCACTCCCCAAATGCCCAAAATGGCCAGGCTGAAGCTAAGAGGAAGAAGTCCATGCAGGTCTCCCATTGGGTGGCACAGACCCGAGTACTTGACTATATCATCTGCTGCCTCCCGGAGTGCACAGTACCAGGAAGCTGGAGCAGAAACAGAGGAGCCGAGACTCCAACCAGTTACTCTGATATGCGATGTGGATGACCCATGCAGTGTCTTAACTGCTACACAAATGCCTAGCCCCAGAATTATATTTAACTTGCTAAGTATTAAGTAAGTAAACCAACGAAACACTTGTATATTTGAGGATGGGTGTTGCAATTTATCTTTTCCTAGGCCAAATTAACTAAGTTGTCCATTTTAAAAATTCCAAACACTGTGTTACATTCTATAGATGTCTATTAATAGACAGCAATGCAGGTACACAGAATTGATTTTTCTTTTACAAGTGTATTTGTCAATCAGGAGAGCTCAATCAATGACAACTTAATAAGTGACTGACAGCAAATATTGGTCTTAATTATGAACTAAAAATTAACATCCACAGAAGAGAAACTTACCTATGCTTGAGGACAACATATATCTCTCAAATTAGAAATAACTATCAATGAGAAACAAACCACTGAGCATCTTAGGAACCTTTGGCTGAATTAAAATTAAGGTAGGAAAAAATGGATAAATTGGCTTAATTTGAATCACATGATTTTTTTACCAGACAAATAAGTAATGGATGCAACGCTAAATTATGTATGCAAATCAGCTGGATCAAGATTAATCATTCTCACTTATGTTTCAGAAGATAGTTGGAAAACTCTTTTTTATAGATGAAAGTAACATAGCACTTAGAATGAAAGTCACTCAATATACACAGTACATTCAGCCAAGTCTCAGCTTGTGTTTCAGATCCAAAACCAGGAGGTGAGATGTCTTACTGGCTTCACATTGCATTATGCATGTGATGTGTGCTGTGTGAGCCACATTTGCATCCTCCATATGGAGAAACAGTTTATCTATTTCTATTTAATTGCAACCATGGGACGATTCGTCTTTCCATTTCTAGCTCATAAAATTGCTTTTTTGCAAATGAAATTGAAATGAAACTATGGCTATTTAGCTCTGACAGAAAATGCACAGGTCTATGCTTTGCTTTGTGTTTTTTTCATATATAAACTACTTGCCCAGTATGAAGAGTAGTTCAGTCTCAAATCACTTCTCTCCACTTTATATTAAAACACACTTTCTTCTTCCAGGAATTACCAGCCTGAGACAGACAGAGGCCACAAATAGACTCACACATGAGCCTTTGACGGGAGACCTGACTTCCTGGCAAGAACTTCCATGAGCTGCCCACACTAATACTCTTTCCCTCCAAATGGGAGGGTAATTTGTGGGACTAAGTCAACCCTGAGACTGCAATTGCCACATTAATGGTGATTTCTCCTCTTATGTCATCATAGGGCATGAGGTATCTTATCAGATTGTTTTTCAAATGCAATACCAGAGCAGATAAACAGAACTGCATAACATCTATTGAATATACTAGTCTTGAGTTGCAACTGTAGGGTAACTTTCATAAAATTCTCCATGTCATTAATTTCTGATTTATTTCTCAGGAACATAACAGATTACCCACAGTAGTCTACCTCCTTTCTAAGTATAGCAGATGCTGTTGCATGTCTATTCTGTATTCATTTCCTCTCCTCTTCATTCCTTAAATAATTCCAATTTTCCATTCTTCCATCTTCTTTTCCATCCCCTCATATCGTCCATGAACTCTATGGAAATTTGACCTTATTTTCTCTCCCAAAGGGAGGCTCTTAAATCACCTGATCTAATTCCTCCTCAACAGTAGTTTATGTAGGAATGAACATGTAGCCAATGGAATTTGAGGAGGGGAGTGCTGGATGTTTTGGAAAAAGATGAATGATTGCTGTGCTGGTCAATGGTGGCAACCATTTTGTGAACATAATGGAGATTAACACGCAGAGAAAGGAGCAAGACTGACAATGGAAGAAAAAAATCACAGAAAAACAGCCAAGGCTGATGATGCATTTGCATGTCAATTTAAGCTTTGTATTTCTCATCATATGGGGCATACAGCCATTTGTTATTGGGGCAGGGTTGCTGATGAATAGAGCTAAATCATTCCTACTGAAACATTAAGACAGTTGGCATTTCCTGCTTTTTCTTATAATGGCAACATCTTACCCTGCATCAGATAGTGGTTGTTTAAAAAAAAAAAAAAAAAACACAACTAAGCCAGGGTATCAGCAAAGGTTATTTGCTTGGAGGGGGATTCACAGCTGTACAGCCACCTGGGTTAAGGAATCAACCCCCACCGCATTTGTATTCCATCTCACCACTCATTACCCTTGATGCCTGAGTAACTTCAGTACAGAATATTCTTAAACTAATCACCTAACAAGATGGGAGGGCCTCAAACCGAGTGACTCATGTAATTAAACCATGCTACCATTTTGTTCCTGGCAGATCCTAAAATCTTACAATAACATAACATGTGTCAATCTTATCAGAAAATAATATACTTGCAGACTTCAAATTTTTGAGAAGGGTCATAAATAAGCCCTATAATTTTTAATACTTGTCTTTGTAAATGTTTTCCTTTCTGCAACATTTCTGTAGGCTACACAAGCCTGCTTAACAAACCATTTTAATCTCCAGTTTAAAATAATATTTATTTAAAATAAACAGAATAAAATGTAATTTGCTTTTCTCAAAAGTAGTGATTTCCCACTAGTTTTACAATGTTTCCACAGACTGAACTACAAACACAGATTCACTTAGCTTGCATTTTCATATTTTTTACAGTTGCATTTTGTACAATCATACATTTATTCTTTCTACATTATGTTTTCATCAAAAACCTAGTGCATTTTTTAAGAGGAATCTGAAAACAAATTTTGCAAAAAAAAAAAAAAAGACAATCTAATGTTCCATACAAATAGATTCTGCATAAAGGTAATATTATTATTCTCTCTGTGCCCAAATTGAGCATTACATCAAATAAATGTAATTACAAATTAACGGGGCAAATGGAGTAGAGATACATTAATGGCAGAGATAGAATAACGCTGAAGAACTCAACAAGATCCTGAGTTTATGTGGTTTGTTTCATGCCGTGGTTGCAACATTTCCCAGTAGAGTCTTGTTTGCTTGGCAAAGGTAATAAAGAAAGATATAAAATCACCCTTTCCAGAGGAAAGGACAGACAGAAAAGAGATTTCTCTTGAGCATGCCTACATGTGTGAAAGGGCATTTTTAGGAAAAATATGAGTTATATCATTGTCATATGGATCATTTTAAAACAGAAAGGGACATATCCTTTCTCTAACTTCATTGCAACATTTTATTAATTCCCTTGATGCTTCTTTAACAGAATAACAAAGGCAGAAGAGCATGAGTGGAACACTGTGATTCTGCTCTCATCTCCAACGCCCTGCAACAACAACCACGGTATTTTATAGACAAGGGTGCAGCAGTGACAAATCCGAATTTCCCCGGGTGGATGCTCACCATAGTAAGTGAGACGTCCCCTAGCAACGTTCTTCCCTCTTGAGTTCTCAGCAATGCACTCATAGGAGCCCGTGTCTTCCTGCTGGAAGTTGGGAATTTCAAGCACACCATTGAACTTCCTCAATTTAATTTTGCTGGAAAAGGGTAGCCCATCACTTCTTCTCCAGTTAATCTGAGGAACAGGACTAAGAGAAAAATTATCAAGCTGTTTGTTGTTCTCTGGAAGCCTCTTGGATCTGACAAAAGCGAAAAACTTACGTGGAGACAGAGAAAGAGATACACGTTTTCAAACACAGAATCCCGCATCCAGTTGTAAATTACATAAACTTTATGCAAAGATTTAACTCATTAAGTTGACAATTTAAGAAAATAAACAACGCATTTTCTTGTGTCAATTCATGCTTTAGAGAAGAAAGCCTGTAGCCTTGCTCACTGTATTAGAATACAAGTGAACGAGAAAAAGAAAAATAATACCAATTGAGTTTCTGGAATTAGGCAAGCATAGTAATTTTCTCCAAGTTAACTTTAAAGGTTCAAACCAAATTTTATATGTGCACTTTCCCTGTGTTGAATTTTTCTTTTGCTTCCAAGTGAAAATAAATTTTAGACAATAAGAAGAGTCTGTCGAAAATCACCCTGATCTCTTACAGCAACCTAATACCTCAGCACATAGCAGTAAATATTATAAAACTCACTTTCCAAGGGCAAAACATTCCAATTTCACAGTTGAACCTTTAGCAGCTGGAAGAGTTTCTGAAAACTGAACTTCTATTTTGGGTTCGTATTCACCCATCACACCTGTAAATCACAATACAAAGTTAATAGCATCAATGTTGCCTTTGGAATTGCTTTGTTTTTCTTAAATAAAACTTGCCTTTGCTCTATGTTGAACCACCTTCTTCCAGTGTTTTACCTTATTCACCAGTGCTACCCTGGGTCAAACAGGCAAACACCCGTACAAGTGCTTAGATTAGCTGATTCATGTCATTTGGTATAGAGCAGTTCTGAGAAAACTACTACGTCTTTCATGTTATGTAAAATGAGAGGCTTAGGAAATTTCATATTCCATTTGAACATTTCTAGTCAAATTGAAATATATGATGTATTATGGCTTCCTGAAATTTCCAAAGGAACAAAAATTATGGCTGGGAATTTATTTAATGGTACCTTGGTAGCAGAGGCACCAATCTTAAACCTGTTAAAAGGCTCCCCAGGGTCAAGAAATGGTGACTTAACGAATGGGAAAGGTCAAATTCAATTACAACTGACTGTAAAGACGTGCTTTGATACTTTGCGGTCATGGCATCACGCCGTTTCAGATACGGTTTTGTGTAAGTGGGTCATCTACTCAGGCTTACAAATCGGGTGCCTCTGCAGATCACCGACTTCCCTTAAACAGCCATCAAGCTATTGATGAAACAGATTTTTCTCTCTAAGGATTTTTTTAGCGATGCTTTTTAGCCTATAACAAAATAGCCAGAGCCTTTGCAAACCTCAAGCTGGCAAAAGTCAGGACAGGTGACTTCATGGAAATGCAACTGAGCTCCAGGCTCAGAAAGTCTCAGGCTTGGCTTAATCCTCTGCTGTCACTCTGGAAAATTTCTAACACTTTCTGAGCCAGGGGCTCCTCATTTCCATTGGACACTGGTGCCGGAAAAGCAGGAAACTTGGTAAGCCCTAGGTATAAGGACTTGTAGTTTAGGGAAGCATTTTCATCAGTGTTCATAAATGTTTTTGCATACATGTCTTTGTTCCAAAAAAAAAAAAAAAGTGACAATTCTTCAAGATACACTTGTTGACATTTTCCCAGTTGTTTTGCTCGCAGTCACTGCACCACTGCCACTCAGAATAACACACTGAAACATTCCATACCATCAGACCGCAGCACCAATGGAGTCGGCGAGCCTAGTACTCTGGCGTTTGTCACCGTGCTTGTCACCACACACGTGTAATTCCCCACGTCGGACGGCTCCACCTTCGCTATGTACAGGTGCCCTGTCTCTTGAGAGACAAATCTCCGACTATCTTCTTCAACAAACGAGGGGTACTCATTGAAGATCCAGGCATAGGAGAGTTCTAAAGTTTTTGAGGAGGGAAAGAATATTTCATTATTAGATAAGGAAGTTTTTCACTGTACATAAGAAATGCTGGAGACAAAAGAACCTTCACGCTGAACGAGATGTGGAGTGTTTGTGCTGCAGGTCATGGGAGAAGCGGCCATGGGAGGTGGTTCTGCGTTCCTTCTTTGGATCCCAGAGGACTCTGATGATTAACATTCCTATGGGAGCATCATTATCACAGCCATCATTATCCGCGCTCCACCAACCTCCTTACAGACTTTCCTGGCTCCCTTCCTTGTACTTTGTATCCACGCTTCGTAGTCTCTGATCTTTCAGTTGCCAATCTCACCATGGCCATGCCTGCCATCAAACTTTCTACAACTTCTCAGGAGTAATGCAAAACCACTTAAGTTGAATGTGAGCCCGCCAAGGGCAAGGCCCTGCCTACTACCCTTGTTTCTACGAAGCCCATGCTGTATCTTACTCCCAGGGGGCCTGCCAAAGCTGCTGCTCTGGGGCTGGCAAAGCCCCTTGTCTTGCTGTCTTCTCGGGTTCCTCCCTTTGCAACACCAAACCCCATTCTGCTGAGATAACTTCCAAATAGCTCTGAAACTTTGGGTCGCACATCAGGAATCACCTCCCTGGAGATATCTTCCTAATCTTCCCAGCTTGGGCTCGTGCTCCTATACAGTACAACATCAAGCTCATTCCAATCAAACCAGTCATCACCAAGCATCTATTCACTTGTCTGTCTTCCTACCACTTGGTAAGTAAGTGATTTTAATTTTTACTCCATCTGCTCTACTCTCCCTCTGAATCAGTGAAATGAAACATCCAGACACTTAATAGGTCCTTAATAAACATGTGTTGTGTTAATTATGCCTAGAATTATGCTGCAGATTCTTCTCCGTAAAGTCCAATATGAGAGTTTTCTGGGAAATTAGCTTTCTCCGAAGGACCCACTGTTCCTTTCCTGTGGGATAATGAAGGCTAAATGACACAATGCTGCTTCATTCTGGATGCCAAGAGTGTTCAGAGCCAAGTTGATATTTAAGCACATGACTGCGGTTGGTTTGCTGGCTTCCTTCTTTCCTTGGCTCTTTTTCCATTTACAATAGCATTAATCTTACTGTGTTGGTTCATTACTGTAGTAATAATGCTTTGCCAAAGAACTTTTGGAAAACATATGGAATCAGAATACATTTAATGCACAAATTCAAACATATTTCAAGTGCAACGGTAAAGGGTCATTCTGTTTGGTAGACAGGTAGAATAAATCAACATGTAAATGCCAATGAGATGACATGCGAGGGGTGGATGAGAGTGACTATGCCTTTCAGAGGAGCGAAAGGTTACATTCTTCCACAACTGAAAGAAAGGCTTAAAGGACAGGGGAACACTTGGATAAGCAGGGATTACAACATCCCAGCTGCAGTGAAGTGCATGAGAGATACCCCATGGAAATGAAAGGTGACAGATTCCCACCCATTATGCAAGTTCGAATAACAAGATCAGCAAACCCCCCACAAATTATACATGCATTCAGAAACACTGACTTTTAGCCTTAAAGTGGCCTTTACATGATGGTATCTTTAGGTAGAAAGTCTTTCATGACATTTCAAATAGTTATATAGGAGGTACTGTCAGCTAAAGTTGTTTGTGTGAAAACAAATGTGACTTAAACATTCACTCCACGGTAAGCCTCTTGCACACCCTAAGGAGGCTTTTCTCTTGTAATATTACTAAATAAACCACAGAGGAAAATAATGCTGATCAGGTAGGCTGACTTTGTTCTGAAGTTGTTAAAACTGGCAGCTGTTACAGCAACAGCCTCTGGGGTCTTCCTGCTGCTCTAACCATCCGGTCCCACCCCAACATTCCCAGTCTCCAAAACCTCGCTTTGCTTTGAAGAAATCGATTTTTTTTATTTTTATTTGTTTATATATTTTTATACAGACAGGCAGAGTGGACAGTGAGAGAGAGAGACAGAGAGAAAGGTCTTCCTTTTGCCGTTGGTTCACCCTCCAATGGCCGCCGCGACCGGCGCGCTGCGGCCGGCGCACCGCGCTGATCCGATGGCAGGAGCCAGGAGCCAGGTACTTATCCTTGTGGGGAGCAATCCGGACTAGACTAAGTTACTCGAATTAGGACTTATTCTATGCATCTGCTCTCCCACAATATGGCGCTGGGAGAGAAGTAAACAGCTTCCGCACAGCTGCCTCCAGTTCAACTAATAAACTGTAGGACTTGCTCCTGATTGGAGGAGAGCAGCGTACTCGGCGTGTGGGCAGCCGAGTTGGGATTGGCGGAGGAGGACTATAAAGGAGGAGAGAGACGGCATGCATCGGGAACATCTATGGGGAACATCTAAGGGAACCCGTGCAGCCCCCGAGAAAGCCGGCCGGCGGTGTGCCGCTCCCCTGCGGAAGTGGGGAATGTGGCCAGGGGGAACTGCCCTTCCACGGAGGTGGAAGGGATAGTAGCCAACCCGGGAAGAACCAGCAGCAAACCCGGGGAGGGCCGAGCAGACGAAAGAACAGCGCAGGGTCCTGTGTCGTTCCTCCACGAAGAGGGGGAGCGACATAATGGTGCCGTGACTCGGATAGGAAACCTGACTCGGATATGAAGCCTAGGCAGGGCTTAGTGTTGCTCCTCCACGAAGAGGGGGAGCGACAATCCTGGTCTCCCATGGGGTGCAGGGCCCAAGCACTTGGGCCATCCTCCACTGCACTCCCTGGCCACAGCAGAGGGCTGGCCTGGAAGAGGGGCAACCGGGACAGAATCCGGCGCCCCGACTGGGACTAGAACCCGGTGTGCCGGCGCCGCTAGGCGGAGGATTAGCCTAGTGAGCCGCGGCGCCGGCCTTGAAGAAATCTTACTCTGCTTTCCACAGTGTCCTACAAATGAGATGCACATGGCTGCCCCCCTCCTTTTATTCACCAGATTAAAACTTCTACTGCTCCCCAATTTAAGTGGCTCTTAGCTGGGAGTTAGGAAATAAGTCAATCAAACTCATTTACAGTTAAAATGGAATAGCTGATAGAAACAGTTCAGATTCAGAGTAAGGAAATCTAAAATCTGGTGACTTCACAATGAGATTTATGGGCAATAACTCCAAGCAAAAACGTGGAATCAGTATCACCAATGTCATTTCGATTAAAAAACGTTCAAGGCAGCAGGTGTTGGCCCTAGTGGTTAACATGCACTTGGGATACTTGTGTCCTAGGTCAGAGTGCTGGAATTTGAGATCCAGCTCTACTCCTGACTCCAGCTTCTGCTATCTCAGACCCTGAGAAGTAGCTGGTAATGGCTCACATCACATATTCTCTCTGTCTCTCTCCCTGTCTGTTCTCTCTGCTTTTCAAATAAATAAAATACTCAACACAAAACAAGATAGGCTGTATGACTTCATTAATAGTATTTCTTCTCTCTCTATCTCTTTTTTAAAAAGATTTTTATTTATTTATTTGAGGTGTAGAATCCCAGACAGAGAGAGGGAGAGACAGAAAGAAAGGTGTTTCATCTGCTGGTTCACTCCACAATTGGCCACAAAGGCCGGGGCTTGACTGATCCAAAGCCTGAAGCCAGGAGCTTCTTCCAGGTCTCCCATGCAGGCACAGGGGCCCAAACACTTGGGCTATCCTCTACTGCTTTCCCAGGCCACAGCAGAGAGCTGGATCAGAAGAGTAGCAGTCAGGACATGAACCATCGCCTATATGAGATGCCAGCGCTGCAGGCAGAGGCTCAGCCAACTACGCCACAGCGCCGGCCCCACCTCTCTTTTTCTTTATAAGATTTGGTTTTTATTTACTTGAAGGCAGAGTGAAAGAGTGTGTGTTGCAGGGACTCAACTATTGGAGTTGTCACCTGCTGCACTGGTGTGCAGATGTGCATTGGCAGGAATGTAGATTCAAAGAGTATATGGGACTCAAAACCAGGCACTCCAATAAGGGGCACAGGAGTCACAAGCGGTGGATTAAACACTGTACCACAACACCCACTCCTATAGTATTTCTTTTAATCCTAACATTAATGGTACTAATACTCATGCTTAAAATATTATAACATTACATTGTGGTAGCCAATGGCTTTATGACACAGTAACTGATTGCTAGGAGAAGTAAAGAAATAGAGCCATAACCGCATTAATTTGAAAGCTCTGCCTCAAAGTTAGCATGAAGGGGTGGACGTGCATGAAGGGGTGGACCGTGGTGGACATGGAGGGCTCCGCTGAAGTCTCACTTCAAGGGAACCCCCTGCACAGAACATGAGATCTCTCCCTGCTACTGCCTGGATGCTGGGGCCACACTCCTCTGGGCTGCTCCTGCCTGGCTCAATTCAGTGAGCTGCTAATTCTGGCCCATTACACCTGCTGCAGGATTCGCCCCCTGATTCTCTGGTAGTAATACAGCCCTACACATATCTTGGTTTTTAGCCAAATGAAACTGGGTTTGGACTTCAGATTTCCAGAACAGCAAGACAATGATTTGTGTTGTTAAAGTATCTGGAGTTTTTAGTAATTTGTTATACCAGCCATGGGAAAGTCATGTACAGGTCAAGACAATGAAACTAAGCTTACCCTGTGTAATATCAGAACCCATAGAAAAAAAAATGGGAGACAGGAGAATAGAGGGAGGTGAGACAATGTATGTAGAGATTTGAGTGATGTGATTGCTTGCTGGTGGCCAAGAGTGAAGGAACCTGGAAGATTCTAGAAGCTACATCAGGCAAGGACAAGGACTCTGCCCTGAAGCCTTCAGAAAGATTACAGCATCACCACCACTGGACTTGAATGTCTGAGCTACACAAAAGGAAGACAACAGATGTGTGCTGTTTTAAGCCACAATGTTGGTGGTAATTGATTACAGAAGCAGAAGGAAATGAACACAAATGACAATAAGAGCCAAAGATAATCGAGTGTTTATCATACGCCAGGTAGAGTACTAAGTGCTCTTGATAGAATTTCCAAAGGCAAAAAAAAAAAAAAAAAGGTCAAAGACCAAATTAGAGACAGCC